AGGAGGAGGAGAAGAAGAAGAAGAAGAAGAAGAAGAAGAAGAAGAAGAAGAAGAAGAAGAAGAAGAAGAAGAAGAAGAAGAAGAAGAAGAAGAAAGGGATTGAGGGAGAAAGGAAAGAACAAAGGAGGAATGAAGGAGCAAAGGAAGGAAGGAATTACTTCCTTACTATCAGACTTCTAGGTCAGGGATCACTGATTCCACATCTATTGTTCAGACTTTGATTAGAGCTTCATCATTCTCTACCCATGGCTGAGATGGTGAGGCTGCAGAGGCGATAATCCAGACCTGCTACCAAGGGAGTCCCCAAATTCTAAATGTTGGAGAGGTGTATGAGAATCTTCAGCTTCTCTTTGGGACAGAGTTGAAGTAAAAATTAGAAAAATGTACTTAATGTACTGCATTAAACAGCTGTATCATACCCCTCCATAGGTCCCTTTTGCTCTATTTTGTCAAACAACAACTAGCACACACAGACAAGTAAAGTGTTTGACAGTGAGAGGAATCTGGGGATTGCCTAGCCTCATATACAAAAGCACTATGTCATCAGCACTGAGGCCCATGTTAGTGTACTGCAAATTTCTCCCTGGTAAGCGGCCAACATGTTGCCTGGCAACCACTCCACAGGAATGACGTCCACTTGTGTCTTCAGCTTTGTTCAGTTCTCAGCCAGTCCCTTTGTGGACAGTCTTCTCTTCAAAGACCTGCTATGGGGTCACAAGTCCTGTCCCAGAAAAAAGGAAGCTTCTAGAAGCAAGTGGGGAGAGTGCTGGAGGTTTTGGAAAGAAAGTTTAGTTGGCTGTGGAGTGGAGCACGTGCAGTGCCAGCTGTTTAGGAGGCTAGGGTAGGAGTATTGTTGGAACCTAGGAGGTTTGTTTGTTTTTTTTTTTTTTTAATGTATTTGGTACAGGGTCTATAGGGTCTCACTACGTAGATCAGACTTGTAGTGATTCTCCGTTTTCAGCCTCCCAAGCACTGGGATTATAGATGCACACCACCACACCCAGTCTGGAACCTAGGAGTTTAAGGCTCACTTAGGCAACATAACAAAGAAAGGAAGAAAAGGGGGAGAGAGAGAGAGACAGACAGACAGACAGAGAGACAGAGAGAGACAGAGAGAGAGAGAGAGAGAGAGAGAGAACGAGAACTCAGGAGAATGAGAACCAGGTGAGTCACAAGTCCAAATGCTTAAGCAATTTAGCAAGATTTGTCTCAAGAAATAGAAAGAGTAGCAATGGAGCTCAGTGTGAAGGCCCTGGGTTCAGTACCCAGCACTGCAAGAAGGAAGGAGGGAAAGAAGGGAGGAACAGGAGGAGGGGTAAATAAGAGTAAATATCGTGCAAACAGCTTGAGCTATTTCCTCTCACCCCTAGGCTGGACTCAGACAGAATTGTGAATTCAGTTTGAGTTTGTGTCCCAAATAGGGCTGGGGACATAACTCAGTAGAATAAGTGCCTGCCTGGCAAGCACAGGGTCCTCAGTTCAATCCCTGGTACCGGAAAAAAAAAAATTACCAAATAAATTCAGCCATCTCATTCTTACCCAAAGTAGCAAAAATCAGTCACCTCAAACTCCCAAAATGAATACAGAGTTTTATAGGAAATTACTCTGAGGGGCTCTGAAAAAGAATTCATACTTCACAAACCCCTCTTTGCTCCTCTTTCCCAGAGTGTCCCCTCCCACTCATGATTCCTCCTAGGGAGATCCCTGGATGACATCCTCTTCCCCAGGCTTCTTACCTCCTGGTCCCTCTTGGCATTCACGTTACTCTAGGAAAGAAACAAATGTCACACATACTGTGCACATAAATATCATGTGTAACTATCTCTGCATATGGGTGGAAAGAATTGTTTTAAACCTTCTGATCTTTTGCAAACGCCTCCTCCCTTTTCCACGTTGAATCCTCTGGGTTGACAACCCCACGTCTAGGCTGATGACCATGCCTTTCTTCTCTTGGATGCTGCTCAGAGGTTTCTGGGCCTTAAGTGCTGGACGATTCCTCAAGGCAGGTGTTTTCTGGATTCTCAATCTGCAGTCCCCACCCTGCTCTGTTGGAACTTCCTTCTGGATGTCCTTAGTCCTAAAGGGCACTGCCAACTTTGGACCTCATCTGGTCTCTTAGAAGTGGCTCCTCGGGAGCGCTGCCTTTCTTGGACAACTCCTAACTCCTCATCTACTGCACCTAGGAATCCCAGTGGTCTAGGGGGCATTTTCCATACAGTCTCCTGGATCCTCCACAGACAAATGCCAGTCATATTTGGTTTCAGAAGTGTCCCCTGGCTGCTAATTGGACCAGAGATAAGAAAAAGCAAAGGGACAAATCAGGAGATATTGCAGAAGACCAGAGAGGCGACAGTTGAACAAAGACAATGGCTAGGAAAGAGAGTAGGCAATGTTGGCAATGTATTTCAGAGATGGAATTGAGGGCTAGGCATGTGGCTCGATGGTAGTGTTTGCCTAGCACACATGAGGCTCTGGATCCCATCCTAAGCATTGGAGGAGGAGGAAGAGGAGGCAACGGAGGAGGGGGAAGTTTGAAAAGGCTCAGTGTGGAGCTAGACACTGAGGAGGAAAGAAAGGGAGGGCACATAAGCCTGAGAGAATGATGTTGAGTCTGGAAATATGGGAGATGGAGTGGATTTGTACATGCAGATTAAGAATTAACTTTTAGGGGCTGGAGAGATAGCTTGGTGGTCTAAGTGCTGCCTGGCAAGCACAAAGACCCAGGTTTGATCCTCGGTACCACATACTGTGCTGGCCCAGAACCCAGGCACGTGGTGCCAGCCATTGAAACCAGGTGTGGTGGCACACACCTGTGATCCCAGTGCTGGGGAGGCTGGGACAGGAGGATCACTATAAGTCCAAGCTGTGTAGCAAGACCCTGTACAAAATAAGTAAAAGATAAAAAAAGAATTAACTTTCAGACACTAGAATTCTGTAGCATGCCCCTACGCCCACATCCTAGAAATTACCTCTCTATTTTCAGTCTTCGTGCAACAATGGTGAGTGCCACGGTAGTAGTTACACTGTCCCATGACCCTGCTCAGGGATAATGACCTGAGCTGGCAGCCTAAGAGAACCAAACTGCTGAACAGACATGTGGACCTTACACCTATTGTTAGTTAAGAGCAGAGGTCAGCAACCCATGGTCCCAAACGGTTTTATCCATACTACTGGAGCATTACCGAGGCCACTTACTTACATATTGTCTAAGGCTGTTTTTGTGCTACAAGGAGCACAGGGGAGACCAGTTGCACAGAGAGATGCGGGGCCCTCCAGCCAGTATGTTCCCTGCCAATTCCAGCTCTAGAATCTCCATTTGATTTGAAGGACCAAAAAAAAAAAAAAAAAGCAACTGGAGAGAGAGTTGCCCTCTGCTGCTGCTGCTGCTGCTGCTCCTGCTGCTGCTGCTCCTGCTGCTGCTGCTCTTGCCCTTTTGCTCTTGTTTTGTTGTTTTCTGCTACCATGAATGGCTGCCCTCTCTCATGTGCTTCTCTGCCTGGGAGCCAGCTGACTATAAACTGAAACCTCCACAAACTGTGAATGTTTGGCTCAGCAAATCTTTCAGAGGGTCCTCAGAGGCACAAACCCGAATGTCTAGTAACTGTGAAAGCATCGAAGAGATGACCGGTGCCCGTCTGGGAATGCTTTGGGGAAGGACTTGGATACTGAAGTGATCACGTTCCGAGTAAGAAAACAAACAGGAGACAATTTATGCCCTACGTGGAGATGGGCCAGCCTCAGCACTCCCTAGTAAAGGTACAATACTCTCCCCTTCAACTGCTGGAGTTTAGAATGTCACACTCCAGTGAGGCATGCCTAAGTATACAACCATGGATTCATAAGGAAAATGAAGGAAAAAGTCCGTTTAAAATAAATTTAAGAAAGTATTTGAGCATCTCCACCTTCCACAAAATGAGTGGTCTTTTTCTTCATTCCACCTCGAGAAGATGATAACTTGAATGGCCACAGGAAGTTGTTGGCCTCTTTGAAGCGTTTTCCAACAGTATAGATCTCATGAATCAGATCCTCTGTACAGATGATTCCATATTTACCAAGAGATCAAGCAATCAATCTGTCAAGGCAATTCGCTTCTTATTGATTTTGCCATAGCCATGCTTGTATATTAGTTCATTCACTGACTTCAGGTTTGGGTGCTCCCATGTAATGTATAACTCCAGTTTTCAGCATGCTAATTGAAGCCTTGTTGAGCTTAATGAAGGTACCATTGAAGATTTGGCGAAGGCGAAGAAGCTGCAACACCTTACAGACCTTTGGGCTCACACCATTGATATCCCTGATCCAGATGACAAATGCCAGTTTGGGCTCTGCAGGGACATAGAAGTTGCCAGCTTTTCTCGCCATCCTCGCCATTCGGATCTCAGTTCTGTACATCTGTCTGTCCTCCTTATGACAGTGCCTAGCTTTTTCATAGATGAGCTTCCTCCTCGCCTTGCGAAGCGTCTTCTGGGCAAATTTCTTTCTCAGGTGCTTTATCTTCAACTCTGCAAAATGTCTTCACTTTTCTTAAGGGTTTCTGGCATGGCAGGAACCTTCTTTTTCTTCTCTTCTATACCCTCCATGGTTCCAGCTAGAAAAGAGCTCTAGGAGGATTTTTGATCATGTTGTTTTATTTTTGGTAAAATCATTCCCTTCCCTTAATCATTAGTGCTTATAAAAC